CAGCTGGTGAGCTTGAACCACCAACCTTGCAGTTCAAACGGCTTTGCAGTCTGGCGCATTAACCCACAGCGCCACACCAGGACTCTTCATACACACACATATATATATATTAGAATATAAATCTTTGCTCTTGCCTTATTTATTAAACGATTTCACAACCTCTAGGTTTGTTTGCAGGGTTTTGTTCCCTTTTCTGTGTTAACTGTGACTGCCTCCAGTTAAGACTTAAAACACAAAGGCACGAGTCAAGGAGATGGACTTTCCTAAAGCTCTATTCACCAGCATTTGTGATCTACTTTTAATGACAACCTCCCTTATTGTAAAAAAAAAAAAGGCAATTTATTCTGTCTTCTATATGAGGTTCACTTTTGAGGTAAAAACTTATGAGTCATATTTTCTACTGTTAAGTTGTGTAGCTCTGAGTGCTGCCCAGTGTTCACTCCTAGTCTCAAGTTGTACATCGCTCAGAAACTGGAGTATTGTTTTTGTCACAAAATTAGTATAGTTGTTAGTCACAGAGCCTGGACTATAATAACTTTTAAGGGCTTAGTCTCCCAAAAGATAGAATTGAAGTCATCAAATATAGTGCATAATTGCTCTGTGATGCCATGAGGTATACAGGCCTCTTCTCCCTCTCTTTTTCACTTTTTTGGCACTTAACTTTTATTCTCATGGTGAAAGATGCTTTTTATAATTCCAGCTGTTACATCTTCATTTTAGGCAGGAAATAGGAGTACATAAGAAAGGGCACACAGGGCTCATGCCAGCTATTTGATTTTGTAATGAATTTTCCTAGAAATTCTATTCAACAACTTCTGCTTATATCGCATTGATCATGGCTGGGAAATGTAGGCATTTAACTGGGCGTATTGATATTCAAGGAGCTCTGGTAGCATAGTGGTTACGAATTGGGCTGCGAACCTTAAGGTCAGTGGTTCGAAACTACCAGCCGCTCCGAGGGAGAAAGATGAGGCTTTCTACTCCCGTAAAGATTTACACCCTCGGAAACCCTGTACAGGGTCACTATGGGTCGGAACCGATTCGATGGCACTTAACAACAACAACAACATTTATAGTCAAGATAAAATAGTGGCTCTGTTCCTAAGGAAGACAGGATATAAGGTGGAAAATCAGTGGTCTCTGCCACAAGTGTGTAAATGTGGGCTGAAGATTATGGAGGAACAATAGAAGACACTGGCGGTGTAACATGTAGCAGTCTTAGTTCTTTAAAGAGATTTCATGTGGAAGTAAGTTTGAACTTCTGCGAACAGAATCAAAACAACTGAGGGGCTTTCAAAATTCATTGCCATTGAGTTGATTCTGACTCATTGTGACCATGTAGAGCAGGATATTGTTGTTGTTTAAGTGCCATCTTATCAGTTCAACCCATAGAGACCCTGCATAGGATTTCCGAGGATCAACTGGTGAGATTGAACCATTGACCTTGCAGTTCAAACTGACTTTGCAGTCTACCGCATTAACCTACTGCACCACACCAGGACTCCAAAGAGCAGAACAGAAGTATCCAATAAGGTATCCAAAGCTGTAATCTTTATGAAAGCAGACAGCCACATCTGTCTCCCATGGAGTGTCTCATGGGTTCGAACAGCCAACCTTTAGGTTAACCCTTAAGAGCTTTAACCACCACTGTTCCTTACTAGAGGGTTTAGAGGGAAAGATTTTTGAATATTGCTTCACAGAACTGCTTCACAACAGAGTTTATCTAAAATGGAATTAGCTGGGTTTTGAACATGTGAAAATTTCCAAGATTACAGGAGAAGATTTTATGTAAAATTCTTTGATGGCCATTGCCTTGCTAATTTTATTTCCTAGATCACAAACTGAGGGAACTATCTGTGTGGCCCTGTGGGTTAATGTGGCAGACTGCAAAGCTGTTTGAATTGCAAGGTTGACAGTTCAAGCTCACCAGCTGCTCCTTGGAAACCCTAGACAGGGTTGCCATGGGTCAGAACTGACTCGATGGCACTTTAACAACAATAAAACAACAAGACCTCCAAATATCAAGAGGCATATTTCAATGAAGCTATACAAATGCACCAAAACATTAAATTGTCTTTTCTTGGAGCAGATTTGGGAATTACAGATGCAAAGTATAATGGAAAAGAAAATGAAGACCAAGAGAAGTATCATAAAGCATTACAAGAATAATCCATCATTAATAACTTTCCTCTGCAAAAACTGCAGTGTACTGGCCTGCTCTGGAGAAAGTATTCATGTCATTGAGAAGATGCATCATGTCAATATGACACCAGAATTCAAGTGAGTCTGGGAAGGCCCATTTTCAGGTTTCTTTACAAGAGATGAAGTAGGTTGTGTTATAAATGTTTATTCAAAATTGTGATTTTTGTTGTTGGGTCACTCACGCACGTCCTGTCAATTTTAACTCATAGTAACACCATGTGACAGAGGAGAACGTCCCTGTAGGATTTCCATGGTTGTAATCTTTATGGAAGCAGATCACTAGTTCTTTCTCCCAGGGGGCTACTGGTTGGATTTAAACTCCCAACCTTCTGGCTCGCAGCAGAGTGCTTAACCATTGCACCACCAGGGTTCAATTTATCAAAAATAGTACATTTGAGGAGTCCTGGTGTGGCGCTGTGGGTTAATGCACCAGATTGCAAAACTGTTTGAACTGCAAGGTTGGCAGTTCAAGCTCACCAGCTGCTCCTCAGAAACCCTACACAGGGTCTCTATGGGTCGGAGCCAACTCAATGACACTTAACAACAACAAAGTACATTTGAAATTCATTGCTTTTCAGAAGTGTCTCTTCCCAAATTATGGTTTCATTTCAAATGTCTGTACATTTTAAATAAACTGTGCTGGGGAAGGAAGAGACCACCAAAGCTATTTTGATTCAAGGTGCTTCAATTTGTACATGCTCATATATGTTTTTAAATTTTATAACAAGTTGTTGTTGAGTGTCATGGAGTCTGTTACGAGTCAGAATGACTCTGTACAGGGTTTCCGAGGCTCTAAATCTTTACGGGAGCAGAAAGCCTCATCTTTCTCCCACGGAACAGCTGGTAGTTTCGAACTGCTGACCTTACAGTTCGCAGCCCGATTCATAACCACTACACTACCAGAGCTCCTTTAGAGCCAGGTTAAAATTAGCAAGAGTTGAAAGGGGAACCAACAAACCAGTTATCCTCAGGTCAGTCCTGACTCAGGGAGACCCCAAGTATGTTATAATAGATCTGTGCTCCATGTGGTTTTCAATAGCTGAATTTTCAGAAATAGATTGCCAGATATTTCTTCTGAGACACCTTTGGGTAAAATCATACCTCCATCCTTATGGCTGGCAGTTCAGTTAACTGTATGCACCACACTGAATGGGAAAGCAGTCATAAACAGATAGCATTCCCTTTTCAGGCTACACAAAGAAAGTGGTCCCTTGGCTCATTTGTCAATGAACTGGGGAAACAGAAAGGAGGGAAGGAATGCCATGTGGGATAATGGCCTGCCTGTGGTGAAATTCAAGTCCAACAACAAGTCTTTGTGGGCTTCATATGGATCTTTTGTGACTTCCCAGGGCTGATTCTTATTCCTTGCTAATTTTAGGGACCTCTATATTGTGAGAGAAAACAAAGCACTGCAAAAACAGTCTGTGGACTATCAAACAAATGGAGAGATTATCTGCAAATGTGGCCAAGTGAGTAAACTGCTGTGGACTTAAATGTCACTTAACCAAAAGAAATGCTTAATTGATGTGTATTTAATTTTTCCTCTTGTTCTCTCTTTTGTTTTCCAGGCTTGGGGTACAATGATGGTGCACAGAGGTCTAGATTTACCCTGTCTGAAAATAAGGAATTTTGTAGTTGTTTTCGAAAATAATTCACTAAAGAAACAGTACAAAAAATGGGTAGATTTACCTATGAGATTTCCTGACTTTGACTATTCAGAATATTGTTTGTTCAGTGATGAGGACTGATTATTTAAAAATATTATCAACTTAATATTTAGTATTATTTTAATTGATGTTTTCAGTATACTACAGAACTGATGTAAGAATGAATAAAATTGTTGCCTGAACACTTTAAAAGAAGTCACTGTATTACACTTCAATTATCCATCTTGGTGTGGGTTAAAGAAAATCTAATAATATTCCTTAGTGTGCTCATCCTTTACAAGAAATTAATCAGTCTATAAAATTCTTATTTGTAGATGACGTATGAACAGTGGTGAGCCCCCTACTGTTGTTGTTAAGTGCCGTCGAGTCAATTCCAACCCATAGCGACCCTGTATAGGGTTTCCGAGGAGCAGCTGGTGAGCTTGACCTGCCAACCTTGCAGTTCCAATGGCTTTACAGTCTGGCGCATTAACCCACAGTGCCACACCAGGACTCCAGTAAGCCACATTAGGTCATAGTTTTAAAATCCAAACTTAAAGTCAGATCTGAGGTGGGCCATGGAAAGAAGAACAGACTATTTATGGTGGTGGTGGTAGTTGTGTGCTATTGAGTCAATTCCAACTCATCTTGACCCTGTATAGGGTTTCTGAGGCTGATAATCTTTACAGGAGCAGAAAGCCTCATCTTTCTCTGACTGAGTGGCTGGTAGAATCGAACTGCTGACCTTGCAGTTAGCAGCCCATCTAATAGTCCATTATGCTACACAGTTCCTCAAACTAATTATGTTGTTGTTATTAAGTGCTGTTAAGTAGATTCCAACTCATAGCAACCCTGTACAGGGTTTCATAGGAGTGACTGGTGGATTTGAACCACCAACCTTGTGGTTAGCAATCCAGTACTGATCCTATACCAGAACTCAGGTAAAATATATTTGGGCTACTATTTAAATCGGGTATCGTTGATGAAGTATACTAACTAGTTTGTAAGCAAACTAAACTGAAATCATTGATTCAGTATTATCTTGGACTCTTTTGCCCACCGAAGATTACTATGAATTCAGTATCACTCCAGGATTTCTATTACTAACTTGACTTTTTTCCCTTAGAATTTAATTCTGATTTATGATTTTACGATTTGATCTTTACACATCACAATTCACGCTTAATTCTGATGAGCTGAAGATTATGAATTAGTATAACATTTAAATGAATCATTGCAGTTGACAAGTGAATCTCAAATCTTTCTCCAAAACACTGATATTTCTTGTGTTTCATTGGACTAAATGCTTTGTATGTTGAAAGCTGCTAACTGCGTGTGGTAAAATCGGTTAAGGTTCACTAAATTTTGTAATAAACAACTGAGGACAATGTTTTTGTTTGTTTGCTTTTTATCACTCACTCGTTTTGAGATTATGAAAAACAAAATAACTGCAATAAACATAAAAAAAAGTTACATTTCATGTAAAATACTATATTTCATGCAGGAGAAAAAAAGAAAAGGAAATGGAGGTAGAAAGGAATGAATAGAACCACAAAAAATAGACACATAAAGGATAACAAGCCCAACTAAAATGTTTAGACCAAGAAATGAGAAGCCGTTAGAAAATATCAGTTTAGCATGTTGTTAATTTTTACTGAATCTGTCTGACTCTGGAAGGCCCCATGCACAACTGAGTGTAATGCTGTGTGTTGTGCACCTCCATGATAGGCCATGGATCAGATTATGTGATTCATGATGTCTTCATTGGCTGACTGTTGAAAGTACATTACCAGGCCTTTCTTCTTATTCTATGTTAGCTTGAAAGCAGAGCCTGGAAACTCCAATGAAGCTGTATAGCATCATTTGTTGTTGTTAAGTGCCTTTGAGTTGATTCTGAGTCATAGCAACCCTGTACAGGGTTTCCAAGGAGCAGCTGGTGGGTTTGAACTGCCGACCTTGTGGTTCACAGTCCAGTGTTTATACTATAGTGCCACACCAAGCATTACAGCAACACACAAACCTCCACTAACAGACTGGTGGTGGCTGCACACAGAGTGCCTTGGCTAGGAATCAAACCTGGTCTATCACATTTTGTTGTTGTTGTTGTTGTTACGTGCTTGAATTGACTCATAGCAATCCTGTGTAGGGTTTCCAAGGAGCAAGAAACTGGTGGGTTTGAATTGCTGACCTTGTGGTTCACAGTCCAGTGCTGATCCTATTGTGCCACACCAGGAGTGCAACCTACCACATGAAAAGTGAGAACTCTTCCATTGAACCACCGCTGCCTCCAGAGGAGATAGGTCTAATAAATAACCATTCATTTATCTGATTATCAAATAATTTTAAACTTCTATGGACAGCAGGTGGCTGAAATAACTCAGTTGGGAGAGCATTAGACTGAAGACCTAAAGATCCCTGGTTCAATCCCTTGTTTCGGCAAACGCCATTTGAAGTTCATTTTGGAGTCCTGGTGTGGCACTGTGGGTTAATACGTCAGACTGCAAAGCTGTTTGAACTGCAAGGTCAGCGGTTCAAACTCACCAGAAGCTCCTCGGAAACCCTATACAGGGTCGCTATGGGTGGGAACTGACTCAACACCACTTAACAACAACAACTATGGACAGTCTTTGGGGTATTAATGAGATCCATTCCTAAGCATGTCTTTAAGTCACAATTTGTAGCTAAGTTGGAACAGGTGTATATGGTTCCTATTTAGGCTTACTTTAGTGCAAGAAAAGGCTCTAAGCCTTTTCAATGATTTAAAAGCTGCTGGTGTAGCAAGTAAAGGTGATTGTGAGGTGTGAGTAAGGGTTGAATTTGGTGTGAGTAAGGGTTGGTTCAATTATTTCAAAGTGAGGCCACAATTACATAATATTAAAGGGCAAGTATTAGCTGTCTGTAAATTAGATGCTCAGAACATGGGGACTATCTGTATTTGTAAGGTACTGTATTTTAGGTACAGAGAAGAATGGTGGTGGTGGTGGTTGTGTGCCACTGAGTTGGTTCCAATTCATAGCAACCTGTACAGGGTTTCCAAGGCTGTAAATCTTTACAGGAGCACAAAGTCTCATCTTTCTCCTGTGGTGTGACTGGTAGATTTGTACTACTGACTTTGCAGTAAGCAGACCAGGTCATAACTCATTATTCTACCTTGGATCCTTACAGAGACTAATAAATATGATTTAGCAAAGGGATTCTTCCCACATGACTTTTACAATTCAGTTACAGAGGTTAGCCTTATTCATAAGTAGTAACAATATATGAAAGACAATGATGAATGTCATATAATGAAAGAACCAACACTTACTGTTATTGAGTCAATTTCGACTCATAGTGACCCTATGTAGGATTTTTGAGACTACTAATCGTTACTGGAGAGGACAGTTTCATTTATTTCCTGAGGATCCACTGGTGGGTTTGAACTGCTGACCTTGTAGCTAGCAGCCTAATCCATAGTTCCACCAGAGCTCATTTAAAGTCAAAAAAGATTATCTCCAATAAAGATGGAAAAGAGAAGATTGCATTGGATTGGATAGCTCATCTCTAAATGAGCTTTGTTACAAAGAAGACAGAGGATATATTGAAAGGGGATCCTTTATATATACAGTCTGAGGAATATTTGTTGAGAAATGAGAGATTCTAGATACAAGTGGGAAAGAGGAGGCCATGACCATTGAAGCAAACGTCAACAGGATGAAACCAAGCACACAGGAGAAGATTAAGGTGGGACAGAGAAGCAAGGAGAGGAGCAAACATGAATGAAAGTGAAAAGACTATGGGGTTTCTTCTCAGAGCAGCCAGCCCTAGACTGTCTGCTAACACCTGGGCTTTGGATTTGAGGATAGTCATGAGGACATAAGAAATGTGCTGAAGATTTTCAAATCTGTTTTGGTGAATGCAAAATGACTAATTAGAAATCAGTAAGAGTATTGACAACAAGTATTAGGTCCACCTGAATTGGAAATAATAAATTTGGAAATAAGTTTGCAGCATGTGATAGCAGTCAATAACTCAACAAATATTCATGTGCCAGATATTAAACTAAATACAGTTATTCTTTGTCAGGTATATGAAAAAATCTGCTTAAAAAATGTGATTGTCTCAAAAACCTTTAAAGTGTGATAATCAATGTAGCCCAATAAACCTAGACCTCTTTCAAGACTGTTGCATTTAGAAAAAAATCAACACCAACATTTGAATTAATTAAAAAGTAATTTCATGAAAAACAGCATCCATGGAGGATTCTCAACTTCTTCCAACTCTGCGTTTTCCAAAGAACCATTCAGATAGTATGAAAACTATACCACTTGGTCATTCTCTTTTACAAAACTCCCCAAAAGTATCCCACCAAAATCATCCCTGACTTGTCCACTCTTAAGTTTGTAATATAAATCCATATTAGTTTTTCTCTGTGTGTTTATTTGATCATCTCTGTTCAGTATTCCAGGCTGAATGGATGCCTGAACCTTTTTTTTTTTTTAACACTAGAAATCATGAGTTTGAGGACAGGGAATTTTGTGAATATTCACATTACATATTTTTGTCCTTGGAACATCAGAAAATAACACCAGTTGATAACTTTAGTTATCAATTTATTTCCTCTAATCCTCAAACCCCTGATAACGGTGTGGGTGTTAAGCATTGGGCTACTGAACTCAAGGTTGGCAATTCAAACTCACCAATTTCTCCTTGACAGAAAGATGAGGTCTTCTGTTCCTGTAAAGATTTACAGCCTCAGAAACCCAATGGAACAGTTCTACCTGACCCTGTGTTGCTAAGTGCCATCGAGTTGCTTCCGACTCATAGTAACCCTATAACAGGTTTCCAAAGAGCTACTGGTAGGTTTGAACCAACTTTGTGGTTAGCAGCTCAGTGCTTATCCTACAGAGCTGCACCAGGATTCCTAGGGTTATTGGAAGTAAGAAATGACTTGATGGCAGTGGATTTGGTTTTAGGTTTAAAGTCTAAATCCAACCCTTTAGTCTATTTCGTGAAAAATGAATGTAGAACCTTTGAATACTTTTGCTTCTCCAGCTATTACAATATTAAGTTTTGCCAATAGACAGTAGTATAGAGACACTGCAGGAAAAAGAGTTTTGGAGGACTTCATGCATAGGATTCAATTAATGCCATGGCTTGGATCAGGCACACCTAAGTCCTCAAAGTGACATCTTTGCTCTTTTTAAATCTTCTGCAG